AGCTGAATTTTATTGACAAACCCCAAGATTTTCACAAAGTAAGCAAGCCAGGGGATTTGTTATAGCTTAAGTGAAAATAAAATGTATCCTATGCATAGCAATGATATTCAGGTGAACACCATTTTAATTTGTTTTCTTACTAGGCTCCCAAGAGACAACAGATGATCCAAATAAAACAGAAACAGAGAAGGTTTGTCTCATTTTAGAATATTTTATTTCACAGCTTTAATTATATGCCTTGAAGTAATAAAATGACCTATGTATTTCCTATAAGTTAAGTTAGGAAGCCTATAAATCAATAAAAAAGCATCCAAAGTAAATGGACTAGAAAATAAACATTGTTCTTAAGATGGACATTTCTATCAAAACAATCCACAGCCAATTCAGGGCAAGATATGTGATGGCCAACATAATCAAGTCTATTCTTCAGTTATCCCATCAATTTAGGAGAAAGACAAAGACCCAGTGTGAATGCAGCTGTGGGGTTGGGCATCCTTAAAAAAATTATGGAGACATTGATAATTAAGGTTACATTCTGATTTACACAGAAAGCAGGGCTGAAATCCTCCCTTTACATTTTAGTGACTGAATTTTGTCTCCAAAATCATCATGATAACTCTTAATAGAACAATTTTTAAAAACTCTATAGTGAAATCTTTAGTAAGAAATCTTGTAGAGAAACATATTTGACTGTTCTCACTTTTCATTCTTCTCGTAGTTCCTTGTTTCTGTTAAGTGTACAGTCATTTTCTGTTAGTCTTTCTATTCCATTTTATGGAGGAAAAATTGATAATAATTCTAATGAAGTTAAGACATCTCAGTGTGTGAAATCCTGAAGTTACTGGGCTGAAGAACTCTTGATCTGCAGCTTTCAATCATAGTTCTGCTATTTTGTTAATCCATCAATTTCTCGAGGTGTTAAAATGTGTGTCCCATTAAAACATAACCTGTGATTAATGACTCTGGTATTTGAGTTATAATTTGCTTCTACATTTGCTACAGTTAGTGATGGATGAGGAAGGCCAGTGAGGGAAAATTCTTGCATAAGATCTGTCTTTATCAGTAAAAAATGAAAATCAGAACTCAGAACAAAGTAGAATGCTCACTCAGTTTTCAAAATTTGTTTCCTGAAGGGTAGGAGAAAAAAAAAAAAAATTTGTGGAATGAAAAATTAAAAAAAATAATAATTTCGTAATATTGCTTCATTTTGGACCTATTAACCATTAATTTACATCTGTTCACTTTATTGCAGTGCTGAATGGAAACTAGTTCTGTCATTTGCTTTCATAGGAGAGTCTGGTTTTTATGTAGAATATCAGCCTCGGGAGAAGAGTTTTGCATTTGACTGAATGAAACAGTAGATTAAACAAGATCATCATCATGTTCTACATTACAGTTTGGCACTTAGGAATTTGTGGTTGAAAACTTATATGGAGGACAGTATTCTAGACTGTGCTTTATTTCAGAATGAGCAGGCAATGCATTACTTGGCAAGTTCCTAGATGTGGAAAATACACCCATTTTGCATCCATAGGATTTTATATTTTAAAGTAATATGTACCATTATGTTTTTATATAATTTTGTTATCCCTATCCTTTCATTAAGATTTGTCATGGGGCAAATCCAGAGATCATTTAAAAACAAACATATCGGGAGATCTGGTTCAACTGAGTATTTCCCCTCAGATTTAAGAAAGTGAAACAGAGCAGAATTCAGCTCCCTCATCTAGGACCAGCAGACAGCTTATATTCAACATTCATTCTTCAGTTGAAGCCTATGTTTAAGGATAAATAGAAATAATACAACTAAAGCCTCTACTTTAAACTGAGCATGTGCTTACATGCCTTGTTAAATCAGGAACACTCCAGAAGTTTGGACTGGTTTGTAGATGGATCAGAGGAAAAATGGACATGTAGTGGTTATGGTGAAGCTATAGGAAAAGCAACTGTGCATATTGCACATGAAAAAGACTGTCAATACCCCTGGAAAATCCGTGCCTGACAGGCAAAGCTGTTGTGATCAATGAAAAAATATGTAGAATTTAAAGGTAGTCTGCCAGCAAAACATTGAAGTAGCTCCAGGCACATTAATGCACTAATTCAAATAATAAAATCTCTTACATTCTCCATGCACATAAAATCATCTGCAAAGAGTTTTTGCATTAAAATGTTGGATGACTGTGTATTGAGACTCAACCAAGAGGATATTTAGGAAAAG